AAAAAAAAATCCTGAATTTGTCGATCGTGCAGAAACAAGCGATAATGAATATTATGCAACCCAAGTTGAAGCAAATGAATAAACCACTAGATAAACACATAAACTTACGTGGGCAAAACTAGACACGCTTTCAATCTTCTCAGTCAACGCGGATGCGCTGTTTTGTAGATCTACAGCCGTCATCTCCACTCTGCGCACCAACTTTTGCGCCATGCGTGCCACCTTTAAAAGCAAGAATTAATTCCTGGTTCTCATACTCAGTCATTTTCCCGCATAATCTGCTTTCGAAAAACGATTTCGGATAGGAAATAAACTGCACAAGGGAATCGAACCTTCTCTACAGGGTCTAAGGCCAATTTTAATAGTGCCACCCAAGTCCTTTCCAATGGTTCTTTGAAGTTTTTGCTTTCCAGATAGGCAAGTTGTTTGTTAGCGCGTTCTCTAAAAAAACTCAGCAATGATAATAATGTTTCAAGCCAATTCCATAAAAAAGAACAAGGGTGATTAAACAAACACCTAAATGAAAGATCACTCTCGGAAGGGCCAGAGTACGTAGAAACTACAGATAGCACTTGACTGATAGAAGAGCTGAGCGAATTTCTATCTGCAGGATCAGTCATCGTTACAACCTAAAGCATTTAATGTTAGTTGTTTGTTCCTGGAAACAACCGATGGATATCAAGCGGCTACTTCAGAAAAGAAAAAAAAAGAAGTATTCGGTACCTCCTCAATGCCCATGATGGAATCTGATGTCTTTTGCCGTCCTCTATAGATGGACGTCTTTCTGAGGGCAGATCTAGAGTGCATGCAATTATTCCTTCAATAATCTTCCTTTAATAAGAACTTCTAGTCTTGCAATAGTATCAGCCCACGTTTGCAAAGGTGAGCGACCGCTTGTGTCGTTGTTACTTAAGGTGGCCGCAACATCAACAACGTTATGTTCAAATTGGTCTTCGTGAACGTCAGTGACCAGCTCGATACCAAGCGTTTCAGTCAAATCCCAAAGAAGTTTGGCAAATCGTTGCTCGAAATCGATTATATACCACTGAATGAAAGAAGAAGTTCGAGGAATGACAAAAATCGAAGAGCAAGGCGTTTTCCTACTTGCAAAGCTATCAAGAGCTCCTCTCGCACAAGGACAGATCCATCTTTGGTGCACTTGTTGCACAAATCATCACAAATCTCCTGATCAATCTAAATGTAACAGTCTATAATGTGAGTGACAGGATAGTTCAATAGTTGTAGCAAATGAACTGTTGAGGCGTGTTCGTTGGTTTCCGAGCGATTTTTTACAAGACAACCAAGGGCGTATACAGCGGCAGCACGAACTTCCGGTGCATTATCGTCCAACTCTTTCAATACCTGCAAAGATCACTGCTCAAAGCAAAAAATTCATAGCCAACAAAAATGAGACAAAACATAATGAACGGCAGCCAAAGTCCATTAGATAATAGCTTGATTTGTCTAGCACTATTTTAGAATCCTTCAAGAACTTACTTCGTACAAACTTTGTGCTTCGGTACTACACAGTCATTTCTTTAGAGAATATAGTCCTTACGAATGGTATGACTCAAAGGCTCAGGTGTGAATTAATTTCACTAGCCTTACAGAAACCTTAGCTAAGCAGCCTGTGAAGCCAACCTTGGGTCCATACTTCGTTTCTATCTCGAAAAACTAGCAAGTGCAAAAAGAGTTACTTTCAAAAGGAAGATACTTATAAGATCCTGCCTTTCCAGACAGCGCTGTCGGTGAACTTTCGCGACACAGGATATAGAGACGAAACCTAGAGATATTGTAGTAACATGATACCTTGGCGTAAGCAACGAGCCGTACTGCTTGCCATCGAGCAGGGTCGTAATCGGCCCATAATCGACCTAATCCGATCAGTATCCAAAGCTTTAAAAGACGACAATCCTTCGCTTGATTCTCGCTAAGCAGTTCCGTACATAGGTTAACGTAGCCTTTTTTTGTTAAATTCTCTTGTGCTATCCTAAATCAGACTTATTAGGAGTTAAAAACATTTAAGCATTATCAGTTAACTGCACCTATAATTGTTGTGGAACAACGTAGCTAGCACGAAGGCAACAACAATTTTTTGTCGAGGAGAAGTGTCAGGGTCGTTCAAAATAGTGACAAAGAAGTGATAGCTGAAAGAATGAATAACATTTAGGTTGATGAGCGTTAGCTGTTAACATATATTTTTTGCTAAACGATAGCTACGTGGTTTGCGTTAACAAAGACCAGATTTTTACTTTGTGAGCAGATTCATTTTTGGGGGTTCTGATAGAAAGATAGCAGAAGTTGCAAACAATTTCGAATACGACACCAGATAGTAACGGTCACTTTGTATCTTTCAAGTTCTGCAGTTCTTTCAAACAATTTTCAGGTGTGTAGAAGTGAATTAGATTACTACCGAAGCTGAACGGGCTTCGAACGAGTAGAAGATTCTAGACGAGCGGGCTCATCACCATTTTCCTTGAACAGCTCTGATTGGACGCTAGGATCGACAGCTAAGATCTAGAAAATAAAAACAATTCAGGAAAACACTTCGAAAAAAAAGATTGTGCGAGTGTTTAAGATGTGTGTCAAATAGATGATATGAAAATAAAACTTAAGATGACCATCTATTTACTACACTAATTACATTTACGATTTGCTAAGATGTTCGGTATTATCTAGTCAGTCCAAACACTTACTTTTGCCCAAATGAAAGCAAGCCACGATCTCAACTCCCTTGATGTGCTTTGCAAAAGCTTCAGTACGTATGGAAATATACCGACAGAGAGAGAATAACCAACAGCCCACTGCCCAAGATCTAAGAAACGAGCGAGAAGCTCGAGAGCTCTCTGGCGATGAGCCTAGGAATTAAGCGGTAGTAGAAAAAGAGCGAACGACGACTGGCAACCTACTTGGCTTAGTAAAACCTGCAACACTATCGGTAACTGTTCAGGAGATGACTGTTTGTTGACGCCATATTCAAGCCACACCTTAAGATTAACTTAAATGAAAACAAGTAGGTAATCCAACCAAACCTAATTCCCAGAGATCAAAGATCTAAAAAGTATCTCCATACTTCATAAGAATCGGCAGATTCAGATTGGCCGACCTTTATAACGCTTATAAGCACAATAAGAATCGGCCGATCGAGAATGCGCGGCGGTTGCGTTGCTGCGCAGCAGTCAAATATAATTTTGCCTGGGGTTCCGTCCTTATCTTTCCGGCACCCCTGCTGACGACTTCTGAGAACTCTAACACAGCCTGAAGAAAGATAGCGAATCATATTGGAAGAAAACAGTGCGGAAAGGCAGTGATGCAGCCGAATCGCACCAAACCGGACAAGGATCGGCCGATCTGAATCTGCCGATCCTTATGAAGTATGGAGATACCCAAAACTACATGGGTTAGAGATACCAGAAGAATGGATAGGTTTGGTAGATGTTCCCACATTTCTTTCAAACTACATAAAAACTGACTAACATATTCATAAAAGCTACTTGCATCTTAGCATTCAATCGCAAACCTCAAATGCTTTCAACTGCTCGATGAAAAACCAGTTGTGCTGAACATCCTGCTCACCAGTTATGCCTGAGAGGTCGATTAAAGCTAAACAAAATTTGACAGACTAGCGGAGAATTGTGGAGCAATCTGAAACGCTTTTTACTCACTATTCAAAGAGCATACAGAGCTTTTCGCCAATAAGTCTCTTCCAATTACTTGAAAGTTAAGTTTAGGCGTAAGTAAATTATGAATGTGGTTGAGAGTCAGATCTAATGTGTAATCCCACGAATCCCACAGAGGATGATCAGCCGTGCTGGGTAGAGACGGCGAAGAAACGACATCTAGAGCGAAATGAAAATATTCTCATGGAACAAAATAACGTTAGAAATGCTCACTGCAGCCGTTTGCGCTCATGACACGCTCAGCAAGGAGAAAACTACGAAACAGAGAAGCGAGCAAAAGATCCTGAATTGACTTAAGTAAAAGTAGATGTGAAGAAAGATGAGGTATGTACCTGTCGGAAAAGCCGCTGGAAATCGTCCCTGGGTAAAGCGTTCCAAGCAATTGTGTCCGTGATTGCCGTAAAAATCCAATTCAACTCTCCCAGTATCGTTCGCCGATCATTCAACTGGCCAGGTATTTCTTCGAGCAAATTGGGAGGAAACTGATTCTTTCTGCCACTCTTGATTAAGTACCTTCAAGTAGATTATGGATTTATGAGATAAAATTTTTGAAGGGCTGCACAGTTACAAGTTAGTGACTATTAGATAGAGACAGTGATTTTCGCAGCAGCGAGCTATATATATTCGGCCTACTTAAGTATCCACTCAAATTGCTAACAAGCATGCGTTGTTTGGCCTTCCCTGTTTTTGGCAAAATATATGCTTACTTTTCGATTATAAATTTACTAGAATTTACCACAAAATGCTTGTATGAATTGGAGTCGTCAAGCATGACGTGAACAAATCGGCAGGAAGTTCAGCATTCGTAGGTAATCGTTCATCTTCACGGCAAGCAGCAAGATGAATGCATTCCTAGAATGAAATACTAGAGCGCAAAGATCTTCTTCCCCGAAAGGATCAACGTTTGATACCCGGAATTTCGGCCGTCGCTGAAACTTAAGAGATTCAGCCTGCTGGTCGGCAGTCATATGGGAATTTATTCGCGCTCCCGATATTGATGTCGACGCCACTGCTTCCTGATGGGCAAGCAGCTTCTTATGCCAATCGCTACAAAATGATACCACTCCATTCTTCACTGCCAACCAACAATAGTGACCCCAGACGACTTACTCTTCGTGATCTTTCGCAAATCTCATGAACCAATTTACAATAGTCTCTGCTGATGAGCAGTCCCACACGTAGATTGAAGGAAATTCCATGCACAATTGTAGATCATACAATGATAGAGGAATATACTATAACATTAGTTTGAAAAGAGGTTTGCATAGGAACCATGATCTGACCTGCGTGAAATTTTTATTAAAAACCCATATTTCGCCGTTCTGAGTGGGTCGCGGCACGCCATGGCCATTATAATGGAAAAGTACCCGCTCATCTTTGGCATTTCGCCTCATACTCGCGCAGATCTTCCGCACATCATCACCTGTTGGATCGATCACTGATTTGTACCTGTAATTAAAGTGACAAGAAGAGATAGGCAAGCGTAAGTA